CAACCGAAATAGAGAAGAGAAGAGAAAAGCAATGTAAAACAGGATCTAGGTTTGGCAACCTATGTATGTCTGAAGAGCCTTCTGTAGCTCGGGATGCTTCTTCGTAGAAGAACACTCTTTGAGTAATGACTCGAATGCTCGAGTCACAAAACCCCCAGCGGCACCTCCAGCCATTATTTGACTATACTCCTGACAGCAAAATTCAAACCGCCACACAGATCACCACCCAGATAAGTCAGTTCGAAAAGAAAATGCAGCTAAATTAAAGATCAAAAGAAACCAAAACAAGATCCGCCAATCCTAAGAACACAAGGAAAAGTCTTCACAATCAGTAACTCATCCGCCGACGAAGGAATTCGATGTCCCAGAAATGATGGGAAAACGAAAGAGAATTATACCTCGAAAATGAGAATAAAAGAAAACGAGAGTAGATCAGAGTAAATAGTATGAGAAATGAGAGAATGGAGAGCGAAGAAGCAATTGAGACAAAGTAACGGTTTGGATCTGTCTGTTCTATATTTCTCTAAAGCTCCATCATGGTTCTGTTCTGGTCTCCCCCTTCAGACCATGGACCGCTCCATAGACTAAACAGCCTTCCTTAGTCCCAACTCCCACCTGAGATTCTAGAGGCAAGATTATTTCGTTCACGACAACGGCATTTTTTATTTTTTTATTTTTTGCGTGAATATTTTTCTTATGTCGAGACTGCGTCTGGGCTTTAAAAAAAAAAAACCAAATTTTTAATAAACAAATAAAAAGTATGATGTAAATAGAAGTCTTACAAATTCAAAGCTCATCAATATTTTTTTTAATCAAAAAAAGTCAATTTTATTGATGAGAAAAAAAAATATTACACCCACTTATCAACGAGAAGAAAAAAAGAAAGCAATAAAATCTTACTACAACCTATAAAAAAAAAACAAAAAGCAATAAAACCTAAGTACAACCAATAAGGTCAAAAAAACAGAAAGCAATAAAACTTAGATACAACCTAAACAAAGAGAGAGAGAGAGAGAGAGAGAATTAGCTAATATCATATTTGTCCATGTTCCTACAAGCACAGTGAAGAAAAAGGAGCTTTAATCCCAGAAGCATCAGCAAGCAAGATATCTGATAAAGGGAATGTCGCTTGACTAAGCCATCCTGTTGGACAATTTCTTTAGCACCAAATGCTACTAAACAATTTGCAGCCCTATTATCATGGCGACACACTAAGGAGAAAACCAAGTTACCTCCTAAATTTTTCAAATAAAACGACTCCTGAACCAAATCTACGCATAGCCACTCATCAACCACTTTCTTCTCAACACTTCTTCCACCAATCATCAACTCAAATTCAACCGAAGAGATGCATTCCATAATCCACCTTACCCAAGTAACCCAAAAACCCATTTTCAACAAAAACTTGCTTCAAGAATTCCCATTCCACACCGTCATATGCTTTGCTCATATCTTACTTCAAAGCCACTTCAACTCTAGATCCCTCCTTCCTTCCTTTTAAATAATGAAAGGCCTCGTGAACTACAACTATATTATCTTGAGCCATATATTCAGAGATAAAACCCTTCTGCTGTTGATAAACACACTTCAACATCAAACCTCTCATTCTATCCATCATAATTTTTGCAATGATCTTATAAATCACATTGCAAAGCCCAATTGGTTTGTAATGGTTGACTAATTTAAGTTTATCATTTTTTGAAACTAATACAATACTAGTTTTATTGATCATATCCAGCCTACAACCTTCTCCGAAAAATTCCCATGCCATTTTACAAACATCATTTTTAATGTCCTGCCATGAGGACTAAAAAACAAACCTGAATAGCCATGAAGTCCAGGCACTCTTGAGGCTCCTATCTGGAAAACAGCATCTCTAATCTCCTCTTCATTAACTGTAGCAACAAGTAATTGATTATCTTCATCAGAAATAAATCTTCTAATATATCTTAATGCTTCTTCCATATTACTCGGATTTGAAGATGTGAACAAACATTTATGATGTTTAAAAAAAAAAAAAACAGCATCAATTTCTCCAATATCTTTTAACCAATCACCATTATCGGCCTTCAAACGTAGCGGCTTACTTCTTATTTGTCTCTGGATGGCAGTGTTGTGAGAAAAAAAAAAAGATGAATTTCTGTCCCTAAACTTAATCAAATTCAGCCTTGCTCTCTGCCACCAATAGATTAATTCTTCAATTTTTGCAGTGATATCCCTCATCCTTTCTCTAGATTCCTCATTCCAAATCCTACCCCTGCAAGCCCTCAGTTCCTTCAACAATGAATCATCTACTACCTAAAAATCGTTTCTTGTTAATCAAACAAAAAGAAATCTTTTTTTCTGATATGACATAATTTCTTGGAAAGCTAAATTGTGGGATTAGGCTCGTGAATGATGCTTGTAAGGACTTAGGATGCGCGATTTGCTATTTGTATATTTGACTTTAAATAATTTAGTTAGATTTATTTATTTTATTTTTTATAATAAAATATTTTAGTTAGATTTGAAATGGATAGCAAGATTGTTGGCCAACAAAAAAATAGATAGGAAGATTTATTCTTAAACTGCACTATTTTATGACAGTCGTTTTACACTAAATTTTATGGGTCGTTTGTCTATGCGTTAGAAAAAAATTGATCAATATGATTAATTTTAAATATAATTAATTATATTATACTATATATATAATTGATTTATAAATTTGATTAATAAGATTGATTTTAATCAAATTAAAAATTAGTATCAAAAAGTAAAATTGAAAAGCAGAACTAAAAATTAGGTAAAACCATGGTTTTGTGAAAATATATTCAAATGCACTTACAATATGTTAAAATCAATTATGAATTTAAAATTATATTTTTATCAAAATATTCAAACACCCATTATATATGTTAAAAATATAAATCTAAAACTATAATTTTTAAAAAATTATCCAAACACCCTTGAGCCCGTTTGAATTTCAATTGAATTTAATTGATTATAAAAAAATTAATTAATATAATTAACTTTAATTATAATTGATTATGCTATAACTTGATAATGTTTGGATATTGTTTTTTGAAATTTATTTTATTAAAAGAGAAAACATAACTCCTAGAACACTAAAAAATAAAAGTATAGGAACCTAGAATATTAGAAAAAAGGTATAGGAACCTATAGCAAAACTCGAGCGAAGTGTAAGGACTCAAAGTTATATTTTTTTTAATAAAATTAAAAATATTTGAATAATTTAGTTAGAAGTAATTGTAAATGTACAAATTACCATAAAATAAATTGCTTTTAAAAATTAAAATATTAACAAAGTTGTGTATAGTAATATTATTAAATTTGTTCAACTCTATACAAGTATATTTAACTTATATATTTGATTAATCATAGAAATTTAAATTATATTAATATTAACATTTAGTAATTTTTATCATAATATAGAATCTTTAGTATGTATTTTTTAATATTTAACTATTTATATCGACCAGCAAAAAAAATTTGATAAAACTTTATAAAGATTAAAAAAGTTTGGTTAAGTGAACTATTTATAAAAAATTGTGTTGATTCCTTAAATAACACATTTAATCTTTTTTTTTTTTGGAAATTATTTTGTAAATCTGGCTCAAGGAGGACATGAGCCCTGTTTACCGATAAAAATAGATTTTTGAAAGCTTGATGCTACTAATTTCATTATAACCAAACAAATTACCAATGAGCACAAAAAAAAAATTGAGACAGAAAACGGATATCACATTGATGCATGCGTGATGAGATCACGAGAGGCTGCAATAACACAATAAGCATGTATGGTTCACTGGGGCACATTAGGCACATTTGGCAAGTGGAACTTCTTGAGACATGATAAATGCATATGACTGTATAATTAAAATTGAAAAGCTACTTCCTCCAACTTAGGCAAAAACGTGGTCTTCATCCAAATAACTGATCATGAAAAAAATGGGAGTGTTTGAATTTTTTTTTTTAATCAAAACCATGGTTAGGGTCCAAATAATTAATTCTAGATATAAATCCAAACAAGCACCTTATACATGTCAAAATCAATTATGAATTTAAAATCACGGTTATATCATAAGCTACTATTACATGTTTTTTAATGTAGGTTTTCAATTGTAGTTTTTTAAAAATTTATTCAAAAACCATATAAATTATTCTACAAACCATATTTTTAGGTTGATTTTCATATATAAAATGAATATTTGAATGTAATTTTACAAAATCATGATTTTAACGCTTAAAATTGATTCTCCAAATTATCCAAACAGGCACTATGAATCAAATCTATGGGTTTTGTGATGTTTTACATTTATTTTTCTTTTTCCTGTTCTTTTTTTTTTTGTGGTATCATGGGTTTTAAAATTGTTGAGTAATAATTATTATGTCTAAGTAATTGTTTTGATGGAGCAAGAAAAAGTCCAAGGCAATGCAGAAGTCTCCCTCTGGTAACTTTCGCTGCAGGCAAAAGATTACCATGGTGATAAATTTTAAAAATTATCTAAACAGACTGGAAATTTCTCGCTTTTCTTTTTATCATGTTACTTTCGTTAAATTATAGTGATTCAAATTTCAAACAAACAAATAATAAAAACCGAGAGACTTTCTTGAAAACTGCATAAACGGATTAATAAACATGTTCAAATTTCAAAAATTCAGATCTGGGCCAGCCGAGCGGACAGATCGATCAGAGCCAGTCGTTTCGTTCCATCCATGCAACAACAATCAAGATCAGGTTGAGAAACTGAGTGACATATAAGAGACTACTGCATCTGAAATTAATTTTTGTTCTCTATTTCATCCTCCATTAACACCTTAAAATAGAAAATAGCAAAGAAATGAAAGCAGGTGATACATGCTTGCAGCGTGAGAAAGCAACATTCTCACTAACGATCATACATTGAACTGGTGTATGGTGCAGTTCAGAAGATTCTGAGGTGCAAAAAGATATGTTCTATATCCTTCATGTTACCGAGCAATGTCATGGCAAAAGAAAGGAAATAAACACCCTTTTGCATTATATAGAAGCCAAAATGTATTGTTGGGCAAACAAAGGTCTCTTAGACGCTGGTATTTTGTCAATCTTGCTTCGGCCTCCCCAAGCCAAAGCATAAGCAAGTAAAGTAGAGAAGTAACATGTTAATCAAATGCTTTGACCATCCATTGCCTTGCCCTCTTCCATCTTCTTTCGCATTTTGTATTGCAACGTAGCTGGCGCACAATCGAAGGGCGTTTCTCCTGAACAACAAGCAATCAATCAGGGGCCTTCCAAGTTCCAACCGTAACTAATAACAACATTGTAAATGGCTGAATCCTAAGAAGAGAAAGGATTGATTACCTTGTGCATTCTTGTACTCTAGGCTTGCCCCAGCATCCATGAGAATGAAAACTATATCAGTCTGATTGAAGACAGCAGCCTGCATAAAATGTTGAAATAAGTAGGAATTATATGTGATTATAAAATATAATTACATTTATGCATGTAGATACAGACGTTGGTTAGGCGTGCATGCGTACAGAAGAGAGTAATACCAAATGCAATAAAGAAAGTCCTTGCTTGTCCCTGTAATTTGAATCCACACCCTGCACACATTAAAATTCATACATAAATACCGATCCTAGAAAAATGCAAAAAAAGGGTGGGATCATTGGTTGTTTTTTCATGAAAATTGGTGGGAAAGGGGGAACCTGATTTAGAAGTTTCTTGACAGAAGCAACGTCACCATTTTTTATTGCTTCTCTCAAACCCTGAGAGCATAAAATGCAATTAGTGTGCAATTTGCAGCAACTAAGATATTTAGTGCAACGGGGCCTTGGACGTTGCTAAAATCTACGTAAAGATATAATACCTCTCCAGTAGCTTCATACTCCATCCGGGAACCATCAGAGGCACCACTGGATACGTGACCAAGATTGAAAGAACTGTAGTTTGCATAACGAACATCAAAGAGTGGTAACACAAAACAAAACACTGGAGAGGATAATCAGGTACTGATTTTGTGAAAACCAAAATAATAACTGCTTCATTAATTTAATGTACGACATCTTGAAAAAAGGGGGATAAAAGAGTTGCGCCTTTGCAGATGAGCATAGCAAAAAATAATAATAATAACAATAATAAACCTTACCAAGAAGTTGAAATATATAATGCTCTAGGACTAGACTAATAGGGTTTAGGCATCTGGGAAAAAAGCATATTGTAAATTTGTAATTTAAAACATTCAAGATATGAAACTCCTCTCTTCTCTTCTAGACTGAAATGAACTAAAATGACAAACCAGGTTTTAATCAACATAGGCAAATCTTTAAATACGTACTAAAATAATAAATTAAAAACAGGTTAAAAATATACAGTCATAGAAGACACAGATCTAACAATCAATACGCACCTAAACTTGCTGTTTGATGTGGAGCTTTTACTTTTAGGAACAACATCTGACTTCTTTGGTTTAGGGTTTGCCAGAGGTGTTGTGACTGGAGTGATTTTCTTCTTGGGCAAAGGAGAAAAAAGAAACCCATGAGTACAAGACCGCAAATGATGTGTGCACCTTATTATAATATAAGTCTAATACCTGCTGGGGCAGTGCATCAGAGGAAGGGGCTGGAGCTTCACAAATGCAAAGAGGCATTCCACACTTACACTCTTTTATGTCTAATGCAACCTTACTCTCTGCTCTTGATGCTGTCTTAGAATTTACATCTGCGTCGATGTCTAGTTTGGAAATTACATTTGTAATGTTATTTGTTCCATCCGAAGAAAGCTGTGGGTCATGCTTCCCAGATCTGACCAAACAAAAGACATAATTTATCGTTGATTTAATAGATAACATATTCATACAGATAAGCATGGTCAATACAAATTTTCCAGAGAAAAGAAATATAGCCACAGTCCTCCAAGGGAACGGAAATAAAAAATGAATCTGCCAATAGCTCCACCTCAAAGTAAGAGGGCTTTCTCCTGTTGTTTACTGTTTAGACCACAAACCAATTGTGCCTTCAAAGAAATATAATTTAATTTTCTTAGAGTGACAGATGCTGCAGTTTCATGCAGAAAGTTACAATTGATGTCAAGCACAATCATAGTGCGTAATTGAAAGTAACTCCAACCATCTAAAAGAAATATGAGTGATAAAGCATTAATAATATACAAAGGAAAACCATTAAAAAAAAAAGTAAGACTATATTGTAAGAAATATATTCCTCTAAGTCTATTGCTTTGCGGCGTTAGATTGAATGGCAAAGTATAAAAAAATCTATAACCAAAGATTGAAGCTGTTAGCTGTAACACCTAGTAAGATCTTTGGCTTCGTTGCATGGTCTCGCAACAGGCCACAAAGTTATATCTTGTAAAGTTTTACTTTTCCTCCCTAAATAATATTAACTAGAGTTGATACAATTGAATTAGCCATGGGAATTATCAAGTGCCTGAACCTATTCAGACTGGGAAGAAAATACTAATCAGCTCGAAGGTAAAATTTATTGAGCTATTGATAACAGCAGTGGTGCACTAGGCTGCTTATCCCGACAAAAAAATTAAAAAAAAAATCTGCAGAAGTATTCGGACGCCTACAGATGAAAGCTCACAATAGATGCGCTCTCACCAACTGAATAATTCCTTCAATATATTATCCTTAGTCCTTACTGGGCCCAGCCCAAGCATGAAAAAAATCTCAAAATTAAATCAAAGTTTTATGACTATTACCTAGTAATTCAACTGAAGATTACTTCCATAGACAGAATTGTCAATTAAGAGGATTAACAATCTCTACTGCTGTTAGGATACTGCAAATGACACAAGCCTTGCTAACTGAAATGTTTGTCTTGTATTTTCAATCGAGAGGATTAGCAATCTCTACAACTTTCCACTAGCTCATAAGAGTACTTCAATATCTCCTCTTACTCTAAGGGCACTCCCAAGTTTGTTGGGGAGTGATTATAAGGAAATGAAACATCCAAAAAAGTGACATTTTTCTAATATTGAAATAGTAGACATTTTATAATTCAATGTGATACAAATTAAAGTAATAAACTTGAGCACTCAATCATAGAGGCTTGAATGTGATATCAAAGACCATTTCAACACAAAATTTTATGTTGTTAAGTGAAGGAACCAAATTTATTTAATAATATCTCCAACAGTTTCAAATGCATCGTTAGAATGATACCAGTCAGACCTCAGTGAGATTAAGTTGTTCTGCACTTGACGATGCCCAGAATAGAAGAATATGCCAGTATTCTGTTCCAATTACTAATTTGCACACAGAGCACTCTGCTCCTTATTCAATTGATAGATCAAGCATTAAGCTTAGGCATACAATAGGTGCTAAACAATATAATTTCAAAAGAACCTGAAGCTTTTAATTCCAGCAGGATATCTAGCTTTGTAATCAAAAGCTAATTCAACAAGTGTAACAAGATATGATGTTCACCAGAAAGTAATTTACCCTGAATTGTTGAAACAATCAGCACATACTCTAACATTTGAGTAAATGCCAAACTGTGGTAAAGCCTGCAAATAAAGATGTCCTTGAATAAAGTTCATCCATGTATAAAAGGACCCCATGACCACTAAAAAATATGAAAAAAAAAAATACCATTTGATTTGATGAATGTTCATGGCACAATGTTCTCCCACAGCATCGACAGTGGTGCTGCAAGCAGATGCCAAACAGACATAAATTTTTAAATTATAACGGTGAAACTGAAAAATAATTTGAAGGGGAATGAGGAGGAATGGTTCCCTATCATTCCCCTTCCCCTTCTCAAATTTTTAAACTCTCAGACGAGGGCACTATTCCCGTTGCAGCTTTTCCGGTTTTCCCCTTACACCCCCCTCACTCCCCTCTCCGAACATCATAATTTGACATCAAATTAGGAGTAGCTTCATGGTTTCCCATTACTGGTCGATACAGCTGGTATTACCAAAACCATATCTTTGGTCACTGCACAGGACAGAACAGTCTAAGCTGGATCGCCCTAATCATATGCCAATTCAGTCCATAAGTTTTTCTACAGAATCTTTGAATTCATTCCAATCTGCAATCATTACTACATTACATTATAATTAAAATTATAATGATAAATATCTAAACACCATAAAATAAAGCCACTGTACTTCTGCTTCATCAATCCTCCTATCCTAATGCAAGATCATATCAATTCAAAACATTTCAATACTTTTCGCAAGACACTGAATGTCGTGACACGATCTCATCAGCACACCTGCTCTTGGTTTATCTGAATTCCACGGAACACGATCTCTACCCAAATATTCAAACTTACGAGTGTAAAATCAAGCAGTGAATAGTTAGTTATACGCACAACTAAAATGATCAATCACCGAGAGTTCTTTATTAGGGGATGGGTAGGGAGAAAGGAGAGAGGTACCCGTCTCCTGAAGGTGTTGAAGCTGCAATTGCAGACATCACATCGCGCTGATTCTTGGAAAGGAGGAGGTTCCACTGACATTTTCTTATCTTCGCCAAATAAGTTTGTTCCTTACTCCTTTTCCTCAGTGAAAATTTGCAAATTTTATGTCTGGAACAGAAAATCAGAGGAACGCTTGATTACTTCGACGATCGATAAGGAGCAGAAGGTGCTAATCTTCGTAAGCTGGTGCTGGATTAGGGTCACTTTGATTTGACGGAAAAAAATTGTTCGTTGTAAAAATTACAACAAATGATTTTTTTTTTTGGAAAATTGGTTATAAATACCTGATTAAAACATAAATTGTTTCTAGCACCAAGCCATATTTAAAAATCAAGTTTAATATTTTATTCATAAAGTAATTTATTTAATTAACTAAAATGTACTTTTAGTTTCAGCTTTCTCACTCCACTATCTCTCTCCGTCCTTTTTCATTTACGCTGTCCTCCAACTACAACCGCCAACCAATCACCACGAGAGCTGTAAATCTTGTTTGAGAAGCTTGTCATCGTTGACACCTTGCAAGAGAAGTTCATTGCCATTGTAAAACTAGATTCTAAATGTCCAAATCTGCCATTTATGTCACCAAGCATTCAGATGCCCTTCTCCAAGATATGCGAACTAGTTTCTTATTCTATTTATTTATTTATTTTCTGTGTTCTGAAAAATTTGTGGTTGGTTGTTATAGAAGGTATAAAGAGAAAGTCAACTATGAATTATAAAAAAAAATGATAGGATGTGGGGTATTAACATCCTTGCAATTTAAATTTTATTCACCATAGTATTCAATTGAATTCATTTAATATCTACGTTAGTGGGAGAAACTTTAGGATTTCTCTTATTTACTATTCCATGTTTCCTCGCTAATAATCATTACCTGATGAGCCTTACAATATTGAAATATCCCCTTGTTCCCTAAGCTTATGTTTTTGTGATTTTATGTTCTTCCTTTATTTTTAAAATTGTTCTACATGAAGTTTAATAGTCATATCATTACAGTTTTGTTGAACATTTGTTCCTTTTCTTTATGCCCGGAACACAAAATGAAGAATCCTTTCTTACTATAGTGCTTATGTATGTTTTATACCATCCTAACCTATCATCTTTCATAATGTTAGAGGTTCAATTTGTAATATTCAAAAGTTAATATATTTTTTTGTGTTGTTAGGATGATTTTTGGCTATTCTTATCCAGCATATGAATGCTACAAAATCGTTGAAAAGAATAAGCCAGAAGTTGAGCAACAACATTTTTTGTGCTAATGTTGGTATAATATAGATATAGATTTGTTATTTGTATCTTCTGTTAGTATAAATATTGTAAAAAAAAAAGCAAAATAAGGGATGAACACAAACTCTGTGATATAGGGACTAATGCCTGTGATACAAAGATCTTTCTAAGACTAAAGAATGAATAGTTTGAACACATGAGTCTTAGTCTTTAAGGAATCTATATCCATGGTTTCCCAGCATTTACGGGTTATTTTGTTGAATTTTTAATCTTATATAGATGAGTAGAAGCCATATTTTGTTCACTTGATGTCACTACTGTTTGAGATCATTGCTCTTTAAGTCTCTACTTCCTGAGTTGTTAGCAGTATTGGAAACATTAATTATTATTTTTATTGATTTACTTTATTGCTATAGAAGCAGTACAACTTTGCAAAACTACTTTAAGCTTGCTTTATTTCATATTATGGCATTAATATGTTTTAAAATTGAATGTTGGTGAGCCCAAAGTTGTAAAGATTCTTATAGATTTTAGTTATGAACCATATGGTGTAGTTCCTTGCATCACCTTCTGCACACGTTGAGGAAATAATTATAGGGTGAAGTAAGTTCTTCATGATTGGATGTAGCACATACTATGGATTTGTGATTCATAATAAACTGAATTATTATCTAAGTATTGCGTACGATGTCTCTTCATTCATGGTTTGTAAGGATTTAATAGGAAAACAGATGAAGGTATAAAATCCTAATATTTAATTTTTGAAATTATTAGGAATAGTATATGAAAATTTCTAGTAACAATAAAAGACAATCAAACATTTAAGACTAATTGTTTTGTTTTCAGATGCCAACTCTAAAACGTGTGTTTTGAAATTTGAGACAAAGCAACAAACCACACAGGCACAGAGCAGCTGCAAGACTAATTTTTAACCATGTGTTTTACTTGCCTTTTTATTGAACCATTCTTTTGAGTTTTTTGCCATTAAAAATTATAATCTCAGCATATATTATATTACAAATTCATGGTTGATTCTAATATGTGGTTAAAGTTCAATTTGTTGGATATTAATGGCACTCACCAATAAAAAATTTGTAAAACCATTAACGCTAGGTTTAAATAATTTAAATAACTCCCATCAACTCTATTTAAGTTAATGAATTCATACCCATGACCTTTATGGATCAAAATTACTTCATTAACTCAAACCCTAACTCAACTCTTCAAGAAAATGAGGAAGGATAAAGGGCATATGAGACTTACTTTTATCCTCCATTTGGATGGGAAGAAAAGTTGAGGAAAAAGAAAATGAAGAGAAGATAAAAATGAAAAGAAAATATTATATCACTTCTCCTGTTTGGATGAACAGGAGAAAATAGGGAAGAAAGAAAATGAACAGATATTATAATAACTATAATGCCTTGATATCAAAATATATCATATTTCATGTAATTATATTTGTAAAAATAAATTGGAAGTAGAAATTATATTAAAATTAATACAATCAAATTAATTTAAAATCAAATTATTTGCTAAAATGTTTTTTATATGATATTTTAAAATCAAATAATTTAATAGAATATGTTATTTTCACATTTTAAAATCAAAAGTCGGCACTAATAAAATTATAAACATAAAATCTCCAACACATTGATAATGAAATACTACAGACAAAAGTTAAATGTGTTTGTATGCCCTCAAATTCAAGCAACTTTGCAACCTTTATTCCTTAAAATGAAAAATAAATAAAAAAATAGGCCATAACTTCAATAGTTCATGAAGCTTAACTCAAAGCCATCATAACAAATTCAATTTGCAATGTCACTCATTTGCCTTGTTGAATGAATTTTAAACAATGGGCGTTAAGGAGGAACATTAATATCATTGTATAATCTCAAAAGGTCACACACCCGCATAATTTGATAATCAATAGCATTAAATTACAGCATGAAACACAACAATAGCTATCATAAGGGTAAATTCTGAAATTCAACAATCACAAAATAAATGACTTTCATCAAAGTTAATTAAAAGTCATCAACTATTGAAAAATGATGTTTACATAATTAACAAAAGGAAGAACACCTCTCCCTTAAATTTTGGAGTTGCTCACATGACGACGATGTTTTCTATCAAATAAATTTAGACATTTAGCAAATGGCTAAATTATTTAATTAAATAGTTAAATTAACGTAATTTATAACCATAGAAGTTAAAAATTATAAACCAAATTGTTTAATTAAAGTTAAATTAATGTAATTAAATAATCTCCTAAGAGTCTAGACATGAAATAGATAAGAAAGAGAGGGAGAGTAAATGGTGAAAAAAAAATTTACTCCCAAAATTCTCCAATTTTGAAGAGAAAAGTTGGAAAAAAAAAATACAGTGGGTTTCATATCTTATCTTTTTCACACTTTTTATTTCCTCTCATTCTTTCTTCCTTATCCAAATAGGAAAAAATTTATTTTCTCTTCTATTTTTTCTCCATGTTTTCTTTCCTCCCGTATTTTATTCCCAACCAAATAGAGCATTAGTGTTTGGAGGCTTCAAAATATCCTTAAGGATCCTCAAACTCAAGCCCTAGTAGAGCTTATTGAATGCTCTTCATTCACTCATTCCTTTCCTTCTAATTTCAAACTCTAACATGGAATAACTTATGCAAAATTTTGACCATGCACTGCAATATACGCACCATGTGCTGCACACTATAGCATGTGGCACAAACTTTATATTTTATCACTTTTTAATATATGGGTGACCCAATTTTATTTTGGACCTAAATTTAGGGTTAAAATCACAATCAAATACACTCATTAAACCTCTCCAGCCACACGCTACATTAATTTACTTAATTACCCTATTAGACTTAGTTAATCAGTGTTAAATTTTTAGGATGCTACACTCAAGTCCTGAAGGACTTGACTGTAATTTTTAAATTTTATAAAATTTATTTATAAATAAATCTGTTTCACAAGACCTAGATGTAATTTTTCTTAAATTTGTTAAAATGATGCTTAAAAATGTCAAATATTATTAAACAAATGGATTTGCAAAACTAATAGAAATGGTTGTCTTATGTTATGATGCAGAACTTCTGACCCAGTTAAGAAAATAGTGTAATGTTTTATCAATTTAGTGATTATAATGTATACATGTAGAATTAATATTTCGATTCAATATTTTTAAATAAAAATACTAACACGTCCCGAAAATTGACATTTTCACACATAAATATTTATAAAATATATTTTTAATTTTATTTGAATTTTTAAAAACATTTTATTTTAAATTTTTATCAATTTTAATACGAGGATACGTTTCCAAGCTAAGGAAATTTGGAGGATTTTATTTGATCAACAAAAGATCTCCAGGATTTGTGATTTGATATCCCATGAATATAAACCACGAGAAAAACACGTGGCTAAAGCTAAAGCTGACACGGACAAGGGAAAAAGTAAAAGCGGCCTTTGTTGGAAAAAAAAATGTTAATAATAATAATTAAAAAAAAAAGTTGCCTAGTTTTCTACTAAGGTCAGTAAAAATCCGGATCAGTACTTTGTGATAAATTGTTAACTAAGCACATTTTTTGCATATATTATATCATCTGAGTTTTTTTTTCCAAAAGCAAACCATTCGAGTTTATCACTCGTGAATCGTAACAAGTCAAATATTTACGATAATCCAATAATTTTATCAGGTGGTTCTTAAACATATCATTAAGTATTGTATCCTCCAACAAAAGATCTTAACTCATTCAAACATGCTCGATAAAAAGGAAAAAAGAAAAAGAAATTTTGACAGAAAATTAAGTCTAATGGAAATAATAATTTCTCATGATGAATCAACTTTTAAATTTTTATTAAAAGAAATACTTATATGTAATATTTGATTGTGTAATTAAAAAAAAAATAGAATCACAATAAGGGCCCTTAGAGTAAACATAATTGCATATAAAGCTTAAATTATTCTGATTTATCTCTAAAGGCTCAAGGGCTTTATTTACAATTATGTTCAATAGTATAATGA